TTTAACTAGGACTGATCATATTCTGTCTTCTAGGTAGGGAATAAAAAAGGTTAAGAGGCATTCTTTCACTTTCAGTGTCTGTAAGAATGACTGTTCACTTATCATTTTTACAACACCCAGAAGCATAAATGTATAGATTTCTTACATGCCTTGACTACAATAATAACTCTAGTGTTGCATTGCTGAGGCAGATGTTTGCTGCAGTGGTCTGGGCGTGTAGTGCACAAGCCCAGATGCCTGGCTGGACCATTGCACCACAGCATCTGGTATAATGTATCTATTTAACAAGATTTAACATTATTTTGAATCTATGCTTAGATCAGTGATGTTATGCATTTTCAAAAACAAAATCCTGTCATTAAAAGCAGCCTGTCATTGTGTGTCCTTATCACTCTCCCACTTGGCACAGATTGGAGCAGGACGTTAAGAAGCTGAAGGCGGACTTGCAGGCCAGCCGACAGGTGGAACAGGACCTGCGCAGCCAGATTGGCTCGCTAGGCGGTGCTGAGCGCTCCATACGCACTGAGCTGAGCCAGCTGCGCCAGGAGAACGAGCTGCTGCAAAGCAAGTGAGTGGTGCTACTATTCAGCAGGTCTAAACAAGGTTAGGTCTGTGGCCTTTTGGTTTATTATGGGGGGAATCGTGGTATTCATTGTGTTATGCGTCAGTATAAATAAACACTGTGGGGGAACAGATGTCATTAAAAAAATCATCACATAGCTTGCTGCTGAACAACTTTACGTTCATAGGCTAATTTCTGTTTGTGGAGCTGTCTGCTAGAAATGTCTTTCAGACTTCTCACTCTGCTCTTACATTGTCAAAAGGATGAAAAGATTAACTCAAACATACCAAAGATTTAGGTTGGGTTGCCAAAATGGATACGATAACACACGGGAAACAATAATTAATGTGATATGCGTGTCCATGCACTTGTAGGCTTCATAATGCTGTGCAGGCAAAACAGAAGGACAAACAAGCAGTGGGCCAACTGGAGAAGAGGCTTAAAGCAGAGCAGGAGGCTCGAGCCTCCGCTGAGAAACAACTCACAGATGAAAAGAAGCGAAAGAAGTTAGAGGAGACCACAGCAGCCAGAGCAGTAGCATTAGCAGCAGCATCCAGGTAGGTGCACAGCTAACATTTGAAACTCCTGACTTGTGGCTTGTTTCTTTCAAGGTATGATTTGTTAATTAGCATTGCTATAAATTCACTACTTGATTTTTCTTCCTGTCTTTTCTCAGAGGGGAGTGCACAGACACGCTGCGACGGCGGATCACTGAATTGGAAACGGAGTGTAAGAAACTATCAATGGACATCAAGCTAAAGGAAGACCAGATCAGAGAGCTCGAACTGAAAGTGCAGGTGAGTATTTTTTTATTAGCATAGTCACACTCAAGCTTTGATGGAGAAATGAGGTACTGCTCGAATAATCTATGCTTAAATGTATTTGTCAATTCAGTTATCATATATAATTTTTCTTTTCTCAAATGCAGTTGTGGGGTTGTAGTGTGTGTTGTTGTT